GTATGTGTGTAGGTTTGTATATGTGAATATATTTACACTGTATAATTATAGACAACCATGGATTCCTATGTGTAACTGTGCATATACAGTTATTTCTTCAGTCCTCGTCAACATAGGAGAATACAGTACTTTAAACTAGCGCAGAGGAACAGGCTGGTTTGTAGTTTCTGGTTTAAAAGGTCCAGGCGTTCAGTGGAGTGAACAGCTGAAATATATAATGTATAAAGAGCTGCAGATCCACCTCCCACCCCCAGGTGTCACAGTCCCCTAATGATCGCTGGTTCAATAATCGGCTGCTCTGTCCTCTCCATAGTTTCTTCTCTTTTCTCTGTGTTATAATTATACAGTGTAAATATATATATATATATACAGTATATGAGTGTTCACTGTGGATTAGAGAGTACAGTATGTATGTAGGTGTGTATATGTGAATATATTTACACTGTATAATTATAGACAACCATGGATTCCTATGTGTAACTGTGTATATACAGTAAGTTATTTCTTCAGTCCTCGTCAACATACTGTATGTATATATTTATATATATATTTATATATATATTTACATATATATTTATATATATTTATATATATATTTACATATATAACAACAGTGGAGTTCAGCACCGGCTGTTATACGTAGGATTGTTGGATATTGAAAATCCTTCTAAATCCGACAGAGCGGAACGTTGTTCCAGCTCCGCGGCTGTCGGTGTGACATCGAGCCAAAATAGTTTAATTTTATTTGACTGGTGAAAAAAATAAAAAATAAATGAAACAATGAACGGGTGTTAAATATTATAGACCTTTGTTGAAATACATCAAAACAAGCACATTTCTGCTGTTTGTCTCTGGCATTTTTAAATCATGCAGTTAACCAACTAATGGGTTAATTTGCTGTTCACTTAGTCACTGACAATTAACTACTTCCAGCGTTGAGTCTAATTATTAAGGCAGTGACAGCAGCGACGGCCTCCGTTCTTTCTCCTCCTGCTCCTGCGAGCGCCCCCCCCCCACTCCCCCTCTTTGCCCGTTCCTGGATTTGACTTGTTAATATATTTTATTGACGAGAAAAATATGGCAAGCGAATGATCGGAATCATTACGGCAATCTCTGCGCGCTAATGCGGCGTTTGTCGACGCAGAGAGAAACAACACGCCGAGATAGATATTAGACGGCAGCCGTAAACGGGGCAGATGGGAAATACATTAGAGCGTTCTCATGTCTGTCCTCTGGAAACATAAAAAAGAACAAGCGAGCGCCCTTCACGGCCGCCGACAGTTTCCACGGGCCCTGAGGGGAGATGACGCACCGGGGGAGAGCAGACACAAGTGTTTTGATTAGTATTACTAATTATCTTCAGACCATTAGCAAAGAAGAGAGAGCATTAAGTTAAATGGTCTGCTCCATATTCTCTTTGTTTCACCAACATAAATAGTCAGACGAGGACTTAGATCCTCAGCCCTTTTTCCTTCTCTCCTCTCCTCTCTCCTAGACTCCCTCCTCAGCTCCTCGTTTCCTTTGAGGAGAGTAAAAATAAGTCGAACCCTCGGTTCATTACAGTAAAACCAGGCGCCATTAAAGAGTTCTCCTTTTGTTGGACAATACAGAGACAAAATGTCAGCTGGGTTCACGCTCACACGGCGAGGTCTCTGCAGTCCAGTGAAGAGACCTCGGCGGCGGCGCTAACAGTCGGGCTGTAATTATACAACGCACCGTCACAGTGGCTGCGTCGTGATAAAAACAAAAAGGCGCCATATGCACGGGCCAGTTTAACTGGCTGAGGATAAATCAACATTTTGTGAGAGCGTGTGGACAGTGGGGAAATATTTACCCCCCGGGACAGAGGAGGAGGGGGACGACGTTTGTGACTATGCAGCCGTACTGGGACGGGTAAATAAGGCAGATTAGCTGTTCTGGTCTTCCGACGGTGCTGTGTTGCCAGATATGTTCTAGCAGGACAGATGGAGGTAGTGAGACATGCTATTCTGGTTGTTATCGTCACAGCCTGGGCCGAGCTGCGGAGGAATTAATCAACGCAAACAAGTGCCCAGTAATGAGAATTAGCAGGGTGTTAGCTTGGAGCTAACCCTCTTGTCGTTATCAAGGCTATTGTTTGGATCTGGAACCCTGGAACCGGGTGTTTTTATTTTATTTTATTTT